AAAACTGACTGAAAATCGCGCGCGAGGTAAAGAAACGAAAAGTCTCTCTCTATTTCTATCTTGGCTAAAAGGCACAACTTAAATACTTAAGAGATTGCAAGCTCAAATTGCATAAGCAAACCTCTTTGCGTTTATTCTGTCCTGAAATGGAAAATAAGAGAGAATAGTAAAGTTTTTAAAATAAAATAAATGTTAGTAAAACTTAAAATCCTTACAAACTTTAATGCATTGTTTTACTTTTCGGTCAAGTCTGTTGCGATGTGTAAAAATGTAAGATATTCTTTCATATTTAGTCTGTCTATTATTAACTAATAAACTAAACTACTTAAAAGCAAAATATGCATATCTTAAATATATTATTTTTAAAAGTTTTTAATCTGATTGATCTAAATTAAAATACTTTTAATTCGTGATATCTAATTAAATCATTAAATATGTTTATATAATTACATTACACATTTTTATATTGAAGATATATAACATTCTCATGTTAGTTAAAATGTATAATCATCTAATGTATAATCTAATCCTATAAAATGTTTCGCTATTACACCTGGGACATCTCTTTCAATGACGTCTACTGATAAATCATATTGAACTTTAAAAGAAGCGTTTTAAATGACCGCAAAAATCTGATTTTTTTTTCTCTTTTTCTTTGTATAAATACTTAAGCTTAAAACTCTAATCAGAATACCTCTCAGAAATTGTATGAAATACAGGTGCGAGTAACTACGACGTTGTTTAAAGTTTTAATAATTAGCATAACTGAGGTACTCAATCATGTTAAATTTAAATATAAACAGTTTGTTATACTTAGAAAAACCGAAGCTTAACTATTAGGAATGTAAATTTAAAATAACGAATTTAATGTTAATTTTCAATAATAAATAACTGACTATTGTTATTATATTAGAAAATAACAGGCAGAAATTGAGGATTGAGTGATGCACGCAGAAATTGAGGATCGAGACTAATAGCATCTCTCGCGTGCAATAAGTAAAAAAAAAAAAAAAATAGACGGTAAAATTCGACGTGATAAATTTATTGACTAGTCTGTTACTTTTGTCTATAATAGCCCTACCAGTGACTTTTTTTAAGCTTACTGTAAAAAGCGAGATCACATTGTGATGTAACAAGCTCAGTCTTCGCAATTTTGTTTATGCAGCATATTTTATCCGTGCTTTATACATATGTCGGACATGTACTAAGTTTGTAGTTTTATGCTGACTTCATCTATGGCATGAGAGTAATATCTTAAAATGCATCTTGTCCGCTCTTCTATAAACTTAAAGAATACATGCACATTTATTTGCGTTTAGATTATTTTTAACTTGTTTTAGAAATTATAGAATAACAAATAAAGAAAAATGTAATAAATACCAAAATTTGAATAAAAGTGGATTTTTATATTCTTAAACTAAAACTAAATATTTAACAGCTAAAAACACTGCTGACTGCATACTTACCTGAAAACATGGAATTCTCTCCGCGTACTAGAAAATTTTTTATTAATGTTCGCTATATTATTGCAAACATATTACATAAAATAAATGTAGAAATCATCTGCTGGCAACATCCTTTTATCTGAAAAGTGATGCAAGCAGAAATTGAGGATCGAGACTAATAGCATCTCTCGCGTACAATAAAAAAAAAACAAGGAAATAGACGGTAAAATTCGACGTCATAAATTTATTGACTAGTCTGTTACTTTTGTCTATAATAACCCTATCAGTGACGTTTTTGGATAAAAACACTGAACACTAACAGATCGTGTCAGTTTCTTTTCTTAATAAGCGGATCGGTTGTTCAGGTGTTTTCTTGGTTTTTCCGCAGGTCTAATGTGAGTTTGATTAAGTTTTTCTTTAAGAGTCCTCTACGAAAGTACGTTTACTCATAAGCAGGTAGTTCTGATAATAAATCAAATAACCCTATCCATTCAATTTTTTTATTATAATTAACGGGGGGAATACCTTATAATTCTTCCAAGAATTATAAGGAATACCTTATATTTCTCCCGCCTTCTTGGTCAAAATATACATGCCTTCGTGGTGTAATGGTCAGTACGCTCGGTGCGTATTCGAGAGGTTCGTGGTTCGAATCCCGGTGAGGGCATTGCTCATTTTTTACGTCCTCTGCTTCGAAATAATATAATGTCTCCGCAGTGGAGCCCGAACTAAAAACGGTGGTGGATGATTTTTCTCCGCCACCAGGATTTGGTGACTGGGTCCCCTAATCCCCAGCCTCCCTTTAAAAGGGGAGTATATAAGGTATTTATTTCTCCCGCCTTATTAGCATACCTTCGTGATGTAATGGTCAGCACGCTCGGCGCGTATTCGAGGAGTCCGTGGTTCGCATCCCGGCTAGGATATTGCTCATTTTTTCAACTTCCTGCTTCCAAAATATCTTACTGTCTCTACAGACTAAAGAAATACAAATACTTGTACTAAATTTAGTCTACCCATATACCTAACAATGTACAGAATTATGGTGGGGTATTTGCTTTGTTTTGATGCATTTCTGGCTTGAAATATCTTATCCTAAAACGTGTGCTATAATATAGTTAAAGCGAATCTCATAATTACGTGTTTGGGGATGTCTGGAGAAGATCTAAGAGAGCACAAGAATCGGGCTTGCTCCACGAATGCCTTTAAATCTTAAACTGTTTTCCTAAAAGCCTTCTGTACATTTATGAGAATTATTAACTGATAGAAAGTAGTAATCACAATTTCACGTCAGAAAATAAAAATACAATTATGTATTTATTATAATTCTAAGATGACACATCTTCACCTGATAGATCATTACAGCCAAACTAATTCTTGTATATAATATATGATTCTTAAACTTATTAGGTTCTGTACAACAATCAGAACGCATTTTGGAGACTTCTTTTCCGAATGTGTATGTACATTAATGTCTCCTTAACCTGAAAAGGTAAATACACTTTTCTGAGTTTTGTATTTTCACTGTTTCACACTACCGGGCGAAAAACATTTCTACAATCCATCTGAATCTTAAAAAACATTACTTTTATTTTCTATGCTTGATTAAGAGTATTTGCTTGTTTCCATTATTTTTCAACCTCCTAATATTACACTTCTGATGAAATAAAATAGTGTAACTGTATTATTCTTTGCTGTAGCATGCAAAAAAATTGATTAAAATGCATAATTCAAAGAAAAAATAACACAAGAGAATAGTTTTAGATTTATTTGATATTGCAATCTAAACTGCAAAGTTACTAATTTGTTCAGGAGTCTTAAAACGTGAGACTGAATCGATGTGTGCTGCGACGTTTTATCTGTGAATATAGCATTTACATTTTAATTTAAATATAATTTCGGAAACTTCAGTTTCAGAAAAATAAAGCGTTAAATTATATTACAATTTCAATTCCAATTTCCATTGATCTTCAGAATAATAATAATAATAATTATTATTTTTTGACTGCATAACATTTAAGACATGTTTCCTTTTAGATTGAATTTCTGACTCCTCTTTTATTATTATTTCAGTTTAATATCTTAATAACATGAAACTCAGGGAGAAATTCCATGATATATTTTTGAGTTAAATTCCTATTATGTATAAATAATGTTTTATTAATTTAAATATATTTACAGAAGTATATCACTAATTTTGAGGAATTCCGTTAAAACACTTCATAAATAATACTTTAGCATTTAAGGAGAATTATTATTATTTTTTCGAGATTCTTGATGCTCACATAATACATTCACAAATACTTCCTGTTTCTATTAATAAATATAATAGTAAGAATTTGCAAATTCAACTTTATGTTTATTGATCTATAGCTAATACGTCTCACTAAATCTTTAATACATAAGCAAGTATCTAGAGTTTCAAACCGTGCACTCTGAGGATCAAAATACTATTTGCATAAAACACTGAATTCTATTTAATCCGTTGTATAAAATAAAATTAAGTTACTAAGATTATAATAAGCATCGTGAATGGTAAATATAAACTGAAAAATCCATTATGAATGCACATGAGGCGAAACACAACGAAGCTAACAAAATTGAAATAGTAATATGGAAGAAAGGATTTTTATAGCATATAGGTGTGTTTGAAACATCTTTCAAACGTTATATATCAAAGTGTAGAGACATTAGGTTAATTGGAAGCAGGAGAGATAAAAAATTAGCAACGCCTTCGCCGGGAATCTAACCACGGACCTATGGAATACATGCCTAGAGTGCTGACCACTAGACTACGAAGGCCACTACTACTTCTTAGGCAGGAGAAATACTTTATAAAAGTAGTAGAATGTAACAATGAAAAAATTTGTTTCGAAAACAATAAACCTGAAATTAACGCCGTCTAGATAATTTTGCACTTATTTAATTTGTTATTTATTCACAAATTAGCTTTGCATTTATTTTACTGCTTTACTCTACATAATTTGCTCAAAGAGCAATATATTTGATTGTACTAAGACACGAAATTCATGAACCGGGAACCGTAAGTATCTCAAAGTGTTTTCCTTCGAAGTGTTTTTAATTAAGAAAAAAATAAAACTACCATCATGAAATAAAACTGCAGCATTAAAGTGTTTAATTTATTTTTGTTAAATTTAGGCTACCGTGCTTTACCTCAAATTTAAGCTACCGTGCTTTACTTGATACAAAATTATTCTTTTCGAAATTAACACCATGGAAACTATGCGTTTATTTAATAAAGTAAAGACTTAACTTATTAATATGTAGCTGAGTAGTTGAATATTTCCTTTTCCACATTTGTTCGAAATTCGCAGCACGCGTTTCCCTATAAGTGACAAGATTTTGGACGTTGCTAAAGCATGAAAATGAGAGCAGTGAAAAAACAATAGCATCTTGTTTCGAGATGATAAAAAGACTGTCTTACTTCTATTCCAGTAATAACTAAATTCCGAAGTAAATGCTTATCAAACGAAACATTATTTAACAAACATAAATGTGTTAGAAATATCTAATGCCAGAAAATTTTTTTTTTTTCAGTTCCCATCCGAGAATTTCAAGCAGTAGCGGGTGGAGAAGCACTTCTACCATGCAACATAGCTATTCCAAAGGAGAGGAACATACTATCTCTTATTCTTTGGTACAGAGAAGCTCCCAAATCTCCCATCTATACCCTAGATTTTCGCAAGGGCCTACCATCCGAAGCAAAGCACTTTCCTGGCAAAACATTGGTTGGACGGGCTCACTTCAAAATCACAGAATATCCTCCTACATTAAAAATTAAACCAGTTCAGGTTGAAGACGAAGGTATATATAAGTGCAGAATAGAGTACAAAAGATCAAGAACTGTAACCAGACCAGTAAAACTTATCATCATTGGTAAGATTTTTCAAAATTTTACTTATATATTTATAATTTATTTAATTTTATTTTTATGCATGAATGGGAGCAGGGAAATTTACATGGGCTAGAAAATGCAGAAGTTACCACTGTAAGTGCAATCGCAGATTTTAATTTCACTTTTAAATCCTCATAGTTAAAATTTTTCTACATTCTATCTACATACTAGAGTTTCAAATATAGAGTTTCGTATTTAATTTACAGTTTTTAGTTTTCGAAATCTTTTTTGTCAAGTTGCTTAAAAATTTTGTCTACCACCTCGATCCTGTCAGAGCCGCAGAACCTGTTGCAGGCATGGATTGTTCCGAGCTCTCTTCTTTCAATCAGTCATCACAACTTCCGCCTGAATTCCTTAAAGTAGCATATTTTAGATAAAGGGAGAAGTGAGCTCCGGCAAACTACAGCGTGCATCGATTATTTAATCTATTATTTAGTTGTAGCAATTTTATGCTGAACCTCTTCATATTTTTCATTTGTCTTGACTTCATCTTGTTTGGCAAACTGCTGAACTGTTTTAAATTTATTCAACATAGTTTTTGTAATGTGAAGTTCAGAAATAAAAATGTTACATTTTAAGTAATTGACTTCAAGGAACTGTATGCATTTCGATAGCTTAGAAATTAAATATAGAAGATAGGAGTTTTATGATTTGCTTCAATTTTATAATGAAGTTTCTTTGTAATCTAACCAGCGATAGATGATGCTCTAAAAAAAATGTTTTTCGCTTATATGTACACTGCGGAAAAAAAAGGAGGAGGGGACAGTTCTATATCTCTCGTTGTACTGGGCCAATTGACAAAATTCAAATTACGTTTTTCATATTCCGAAAGCGCGACTTAGGATATATATTAGATTTATATATAGCATCATTTTAACATAGATATTTTGACAGATATTTTGACACCAAATTTGACTTTTTCTCAAATGACGTGCCACTTGTTTTCCATATTTCGATTCTACGACTCAAATTATACCTAAATATTAAGTTTTGTAAAGTTTAGCAAGAAATTTACGGAGAAATTCAAAAATTTATCTTGGCGTATTTTTTTTTTTTTTTTTTTTTCAGTTTTCACTAAGAATTATTTACTTGGCGAACTTCTTAATTTATAGCAACCTATTTTCCTTTTCTTTTTTTTTTTTTCATTGTAGACGAGCGGAAAAAAAAAAAAAACATCGTTTATACTTTCAAATAATTTTAACAAACTGAGTAAACTACATTTGTTGTTCTCAACGCTCCAAAAAAAATTATAACTCTCCAATATGTAAATTCATTTAGATCTTAGAGCATTTTAAATAAAAATCTCTAATTTTTTGCAAGTGTGCCTAGAAATTCATCTAATCTATTTTAAGACGATGTTAAAAATTTGATAGTTTGTAATATAAAATTATTTTGTAAATTTATAAAAAACATTTAAGAATACAAATTTTAAAAAAATCATGTGCGAAAAATATGTGCGAATTATATTTGGATTTAGCCTAACTTTTGAATTCTGGAAGAAGGAATCAAGCTAGTTTAATAAAAAAAGATATATTAATATATATATATATATATAATTCAATGAACATTGAGGAAAAAAAAATTGAGAGCTAATTTTTTAAAAACTACTTTTGCGATTTTTCCAAAACTTGGCAGTTTGGCATAATTTGAATCATAGAATTCAAGTATGGAAAACAATTGGCATGTCATTTTAGAAAAAGTCCGATTTGGTGTCAAAATACCTATATTTGAACAACGCTATACATAAATCTAATACATATCTTAAGTCGCGCTTTCGAGACATGAAAATCACAAGTTGAATTTCGTCAATAGGCCCAGTAGAATGGGAGATACAGAACTGTCTCCTCTTCTTTCCCTCCGTAGTGTACCTTTCTAAACATGTAAAAAATATTATTCTTTTTCTGATATGACAGCTGCTAATCAAGCATGGTGATGCGGCATATACATAAATTTTGTAGTATATAATACTGAGGAAATAGACTAATGTTTGATTTGTGTAAAATTTATGTATAGTTTACTTATTATTCCTTAATTTTAGTAATGATCAATGTTAAATATCTGCTATTAGAGGAACCTGCTTTAGAGGAAATTGAGATTACTTCGGCACACCTAAGTAATGTTCAACTGCTCTGATACTCGTTCAGGGGTTTCTCTCAATTTCAAGTAACACAGCTTATTTTACGAAAGGCGGCATAAAGTATGTGTAAGATCAATAAGGCTGCTTACAGAAAGCCCCAGCCTCACATAATATGTGCTGCAGCTGCCCAAACAATGGATGACTTGCCAGACATCTGATTGGTAAGCGCTCTTGGTACATGTCCCTTGCGGCTTGTAATTTCCTTCCACGCCCCCATAAATGTATTGCATATCGGCCAGTTTGTCTTTGCTGAACTGATGACTCCTTCTTCTGCAAACTGCTCGCCTGAAATGATCCAGGTTTCAGCAAATATCGCTCTCAAGCGGCGGTGGCCACGTTCTCGAGAAAACTTCTTCTCTAAAATGTTTCGTCATGGTCTACTAGACCAGCTTATAAAGTTTGTAAAAGACCTTTTTTGGGATAACCTGCATTATGAATTTTATTTTAACTGAAGTGATTTCAACAATTTCAAACTGTTTAAATTGCTGAAAGCGCTTCATCTAAAATAAAATCTATAATATAATCATATTGATAATGGCGAATGTTTGAATTACTAAGAGAGCTTTTGCAATATAAAATCTCTGCTAACTATTATTGCTGTTCTTAGAGTCAATAATAGGTACTTTTGAGTGAAACATTAATATCAGCTGTATGCAAAGTTAGACCTGCCAGTGTGAAGAGGGACTTAGATACAAAGTGCAGTCATTTTGTCATTTTTCAGTGGTTTTTCTATGTGCTATCTGTATTATCATTTTGAGTTCGTAGTGTAACGGTGCGTTCGTAGTGTAACGGTGGCACATTCGACACGTATTCGAGAGGTACAGGTGAAAGCATTGCACATTTTTAACGTCTCTTGCTATTACAAAAAACCTAATGACTCTATAACATATTGTTACGAATTTGGTATTTAAAAAGCTAATGTTAGTTCAATTATAAATTAAATGGTTTTATTTCTCGCGCAGTGCAGCGCGTGACGAATATTAAAAGAAAGCTAAGCCGGAAAAATTAAAAATACAAGAGCGCGTGCATTAAATAAATAAATATCTCTTTTTGATTTCGAGAAAGTACTGGAAAATTCTAGCGCGTGATTTTAAAATCTTATAAAAGGAGGAAAACATCTCAGTTTGTAGTAGTTGCTTAGTTTGTTGTTGTTTAGAAAACTGCCGTTGTTGATTATAGCGAATTCGCGGATTAGCGTTCTTTAGCTGTTTGAATTACGTTCTATTGTACATTTAAGTAGTTAAAAGATAACTACTGTGAGATATTGTGATACTGCATGATAATTTGAGAAAATTTAAGCATTTCTGTTGTGATAATAATAAATTTTTGTTCATTTTTCATCGGACTTAAGCATTCATTTCATAACGAACCCGTACGCACGCAACAATTTTTGGTGTCAGGAGTGGGATTTGAATGCCAATAACAAGAGGGATGGAAGAACAATTGAGACAGCTCATTACTGCTTTTGCTGCTTTCCAAGAAAAGATGGAAGCTGGCCAAACATCTTTTAAAGAAGAAATGAAATTGGGCCAGGAATCCCTCAAGGAAGAAATGAAAACGGCACAGGAACAAATGAAGTTGGGCCAGGAATCCGTTAAGGAAGAGATGAAATCTCTTAAAAATGAAATGAAAGCAGGTCAGGACGAAATGAAAAGAGAAATTACCTGCGTAATAGAAAATAAATTTGAGGCTATGGAAGGCAGAATAGACGCGGTTGAAACTAAAGTTGGACAAATAGAAGAAAGAGTTTCTTCGGTAAAAGAACAAGTAGAAGAAAGAATTTCTTCTGTAAAAGAACATATAGAAGAGAGAGTTTCTGCCGTCGAACAACAAATTGATGATAGGGTTTCTGCTGCCGTCGCCAAAGAAGTTGACAGCCTAAAGAAGTGCATAGCGACGGTAGGAAACAATTCTGAAGGTTTCAAATTTTTATCGATGCCTGCTCGTTCCGTTCTGAAACTATCTACATATGATGGGAAGACCTCCTGGCAAGTGTATAGGACACAATTTTCTATCGTTGCGGATGCGAATGGATGGGATTCCCAAGCTAAGGCCTGTCATCTCGCCGCTTCTCTGAGAGCAGACGCAGCGGATATCCTGCAGACGCTTCCTGAAAACCAAAGACTTGACTTCGAAGATCTATCCGGCGCATTGGAGCTGCGCTTTGGCGAGAAATGTTTAAAAGACTACAGCAGGCTTCAATTAAAATCCCGTCAACAGAAGCCCACCGAATCACTCCAGGAGCTCGCCACGGATGTTGAAAGGCCACCTCGCCTTTTCGGAGTGCCCGACAGAAACAAGAGAAATCCTGTCGCTACAATATTTCATCGACGGCATCCGGGATCCTGAAATACAGAAAGCTCTTCGAATGGCAGATGTAAAGGACATAAAAAGCGCTTTGTTGTACGCCATGAAGTTCGAGTCAGCCCAGCAAGCAACTCTTAGAGATCGCTACTCCAGACTCCAGAAGTCAGTCAGAGCTGTGCGAGTCCACGACCCAGGTGGACCAATTGATGGCTCGTTTAGATGATTTATCCAAACAAGTCGATGCTTTGATACGGAGTAGCAGTGAGAACAAAGTGGCTGTAAGATGTTGGAGATGTGGTTCTGAAGGTCACCTACGACGGCATTGCAGAACACCCCAGGGCACGGATAATAAAACGGATGAGTTGACAAGACCAGTGAATGCTTTAAGACGGAATAGTGGTGAAAACGAAACCGACCCTAAAGTGCTGGAATTGCGGTGTTGAAGGCCACCTACGAAGGAACTGCAGAACTCCCCAGAGCACGGAAAATAAGGCATACGATTTAAACAGACAATTAAATGCCACGGGAAGGAAAAGG